GTCCACGAGAGCCACAATATGACCTTGAATATATCCCACCTGAATTCAGAGATCATTTGAAGAACAGATTTGATACATTAAACATTAAAAACCAAAGACCAGAAGAGTTGTGGGATAACATCAAGAACATTATACATGAAGAAAGCAAAAAGTCATTGAGAAGACAAGAAAGAAGGAAAAGGTCAAAATGGACATCAGAAAAAACACTGAAACTTGCTCTCCAGAGTAGAGATGCTAAAGCAAATGGAAGAAATGAGGAGGTCCAAGAAATGAGGAGGTCCAAGAACTGAGCAGAAATTTTCAAAAGATCAGCTTGATAAGATAAATTCAAATGTTACAATAAACTGTGCAAAGATCTGGAGTCAGAACACCAAAAAGGAAGAACACACTAAGCATTTCTCAAGCTGGGGAACCTGAAGAAAAAATTCAAACCTTGCCTTTCGTTATTGAAAGATTCTCTGGGAAAATTATTGAATGATGCAGAAAGCATTAAAAGAAGATGGAAGGAATACACAGAGTAAATGTACCAGAAAGAAATTGCTCATATTCAACCATTTCAAGAGGTAGCATATGATCAAGAGCCATTGATACTGAAGGAAGAAATCCATATGCTTTTTCATTAGCACTTTGAAATAAATACATGAACCTTATACCCTTTGATATTGCTTATAATTAACATATTATTTTAACTGCTTTCATAGATTTATAGAATCTATGGTAAAAGCTTGGTGTGATACTAATGTATTTTTAGTTACTAATAAGTGCTTCGTTTTCTTCGCATCATTTTCATAAAAACACAAATCTATTATGGTAGCTGTTCAAGCCTATTTAATTACTATCTGATTGCCTCTGTTGCTGTAAGCTAATAATACTCATTTTTGTAAGTAATTTTTTTCCCCCTCTGGCTTTAATTCTGGGGAAAGATGTGTTGTCATTGTCAGATTCACTTGTCAATATGGAAGAAGTTTTGCTAAGTTAGATCTTATGTCATGTACTTTGTTGAGTTTGGGGCCTAAATACAAATGTGTCTTGACTGATTGGAAATGATGAGTTTGGTGTGTTCGGATGAGTTTAGGGGCTGAAAACAAATATATCTTGACAGATTAGAAAAGATGAGTTCTAGATGGAATCGTTCATTTTAGCAAATTTATATTGTTTACTCTAGATACACCTTCAGTACTTCTGTGCATTTGAATTCCACCAACTGTACTCCTTGTTGGTAGACTGTTTGTGTCAGAGTAATAATCATAAATCTATTATTATTCCTTGTAGCATCAGAGGCTACTTGAAATACTAGACACAGAAAAGGAACTGCTGAAAGAAAAAATAAAGGAAGCTTTGATTGAGCAATCTCAAGAACAGAAGGTAATGTTTTAAGTGTGCTCAGAGTGTTGAAAGAATGTGGTCTTTCACCTCAGTAAATTTAGTTTCTACCAAACTGTCTTATCATTTGCAGGAAATATTAGAAAAATGTTTGGAGGAAGAAAGGCAACAAAATAAAGAAGCACTAAGAGCTGCTGCAAAGGTATTTCCATGTGTATGGGTCTCTTTGTAAGTAGTAGTAGTAAACACAGGGTTCAGTTGATTTTTGTATAAAGTTTCATTCCAGAAAAATTAGTGTTTTGGTTTACTTTCCTATTTTTTCTCAAAAGTTTAGGAACCAACTATTCATATTCTATGTTCACATTACTAGATTGTGATGGAATGAAATAGTTTATATTTGCTGTTGTTTTTGTGTGCTTTTGAGTCTTTCCCACTTATGGAGACCCTCCATAGGGTATACTGTTGTTAAACGCTGTCAAGTAGGTTGAGACTCATAGAGACCCTGTGTAGGGTTTCCTAGAAGTGGCTGGTGAGCATGAACCACCGACCTTGTAGTTTAAATCATCCTTGAGGGCCAGTGGATTCTCCTACAGCACCACACCAGGACTCTTAAAAAGGTATTAAAGGCTTTAAATCTTAGAGGGAACAGAAAGCCTCATATTTCTCCTGCAGAATATTTGCATCATAGATTACTAATTACTTAGTAAAGTATTTTGAGACGTACAAAATGCCCATCTGGAGTTTGATAGGTGGTTTTGAAGATAATGTGTGTGTATTTATAGTCACCAAGATATGTGATTGTTTTAAAGCCAACATCAAAATAACCCATCTCAGTAGTATATTCAAAGATATTAAATATACACAAACTAACACATATGTATATAGCACTGACTTTTAAGTTGTGAATTTAAGATTAAATTTAATAAACAAATATTGGTGGTCTTTTATGTACCAATCATTATGCTGGGACGGCAGTTCAGATGTGATTGTGAATTTGCCTTTTTCATATACACCACAAGACATGGGGGAATGTATTAAATTATTATGCATGTATAAGTAATCCTGGGGTCATTGTGTGGCACTGTGGGATAAGGTCTGTTTGAACCACAAAGTCAGCAATTCAACTGACCACCTGTTAACGTGGAAACCCTATACAGGGTCACTATGGCTTGGAACCATACTCAGGCTGTCTAGGCTAGAGTCAGGTGGATGGGCGATCAGTGCAGATGTGTGGGCCATCTCATTGTCAAGGATCTTCAAATCAAAGGATCTACAATATTATGGACCCCAGGACTTGACAGAGAAGGGCTTCCTATTCACTTCAAACAAAGAGCTTATCATTATTGTAAATACAGAAGGTAGACAAGTGAATTTTAATTCACTTCAGCCCAGAAGTTTACCCTTAGAGTAACACAGAAGGTAGATGTGAGAATCTAGCTATTTGCTATTAAAGTCACAGATTGTTGTTACGTATAAGTCGGAACCTACTGGATGCAGTAGGTTCCAACTTACAGCAGTTTTGTATAGGGGTCTAAGGAGAGGCTGGTGAGTTTGAGTCATTGACCTTGCTATTCAAATCAACTTACAAAATCAAATTAACCAACAGTGCCATACCATTAACGTGGTTTAAAAATATGTAAAACAATGCCCTTTTAATTTTGAAAAAATATAGGTGTTTTTTCATAAAGTACTTTACTATTTATTTTGAATGAATTACCAAACAAATGCTTTAAACATATCTTGGCTTGAATTACTAATATTATAAATTTGAAAATATACAGCCAACATAACAAAACCTTCTTTGAGGATTATAAAACATTCTGAGACCAAATCTTTTAAAAGCTACAATTTTGGATTTTTTTGTAAGTTTAGAAATGTTATGGAGATTGACAGTAATATTTGTGCAAAAAGCAGTAGATTTAATTTTACAGAAATTATTGAATTGTGTTAAAAATAGCAATGTCAGAATCAGACCCCATAGGATCAAACTGTGTACCTCCTCTGTTTACACAAGTCTGTCTTATTTATGGAAATAGTGCTCAATCACTTTATTTTCTTTTTTCGGTCATTATTTATTTTGAAGCTTGAGAAAGAAGCAATGCAGGATGCAATTTTGAAAGCCATAGAAGAAGAAAGAAAAAATTTAGAAAAAGCTCATGCTGAAGAAAGGGAATTATGGAAGAATGAACATGCAAAAGATCAAGAAAAAGTAACACAAGAAATTCAAAAAGCTATACAAGAACAAAGAAAAATAAGTCAGGTTAGTAGAATTAACGCTTTGGAAATATTTCATTTTTCTTAAACTATTTTATACTTGTTAGTGGGCATTTCAGTACTTAATTTTTTCTTTAATAATTTATGTTTTTTATGTCCTTTTATCACACTGATATTGAAAACTTGCTAAGTTATAATTTTTCCTTTTTACTCCTTTTCAGAAGTACAGAATCCAAAATTATGTTTAATCATGGCAACAATATTATCAACCCTTTTTATCATACATGTTCTTTCCTTGTTATAAACACACCTATATATGCATAATCAATGTAAGATAATATAAACTATATTATTCATTATATGATTAATTAACATATAATTTGTAAGTCTGATTTATTTGTAATCCTGTTGTGGCACTCTCGGATAAGCACTCAACCACAAGATTGTTTTGAACCTTCAGGTCAGCAGTTCAAGCTCACCAGCCACTCCTTGGAAACCCAGTATAGGATTGCTATGAGTTGGAACCTACTCAATGACACTTAACAACAAAAACATACCTTTAAAAAAACAAACATACCTTTAGTTTTTGGTAATAATTTATTTTGTTGCTGTTAGGTGTCATTGTTTCTGTTCCAACTCATAGTGACCCTATGTACAATAGAACAAAACACTGCCCAGATGCTATTCATAAGAATTTAACTGGTTAATATTTTAAGAATTATGTCACAGGTCCTTCTTCCTAGTTTGTCTTCATCTTGATTTTTTCCTGAATCCCTATCCACCATGGTTGACCCTGTTCCTATTTGAAATAGTAGTAGAATATCTTCCAGCATTAAAGAGACATATAACCCACCATGTATGATAAACTGTCAGATACGTGATAGAATAATTAATTATTGTTGTTGTTCAGTATTATCAAGATGGTTCCAACTTATAGTGACCCTGTATAGGGTTTCTGAGGAACAGCTGGTGGGTTTGAACCACTGCTAACCTTACAGTTAGCAGTCCAGCGCTTATCCTACATTGCTATACCAGAACTCCACAAATAATTAATGGAACCTCAAAAATAATGGCTAATATAGCTTATTAAGGATGTATGTAGATTGCCAAGTATGGCCTGCATATAAAATAACTTTTGATTGTTTATATCAATAATTCAAAACTCCACATTAATTTAATTATCAATAATTTAATTTTCAAGTCTCTGTTTCTCTTGGACTTAGTGTTTTCTTTATATATACAATAAGATACTTGAATGAGATACTTTATTTAAATATGTGCCATGGGATAATTCCCTTAGATAAGTATAGGAAGCAAAAGAATCACATTTGTGAGTTAACTTTTTGCTTGTATTCCATGGTTTATTCTACCATGCCATTATAAATGTTGGTAAAATCTAGAAGATTTTCTTATAGACTCTATAGCTATCTGAATGGTGCTCTCAAGCATGCAGTGTTGCGATTACACTGTAGGATAAGCACTGGACTACAAACCACAAGGTCAGCTCCTATCAGCTGCTCCTTGGGAACCTGTGCAGGGTCGCTATGAGTCAGAACTGACTTGACGACATTTAACAACAAAGTTCAGAAGTTAAATACTGTATGTCTACTGTGGTTACTATAGAATTCCCATTTATCAAAATTATAGTAATCAATATTTTCACTTCCTTGTCAACCATAAAAGAATCTCAGAATTCATCTAAATTTACTTTTTCCATAATTTTAGGGTAGTATTGTCATGGAATTCTAATTCTCCATTAAAAAAAAAAAAAAAACTTTGCACAAATTGTACAGTGTATTTTTTTCATATTTATGAGTTCATTAAAAGTTCGTGGATAAATGGAATTAAAAGTTAATAGAATTTTTCCATGAACATTTTGAAGCCTCCTTCTATTGTGCATTAAACCAAACCAATCCTCCTATTATACATTCTGACTCATACAGACCCTGTAGGACATAGTAGAACTTACCTATAGGTTCCCAAGGCTATTGGTCTTTACAGAAGCATACTACAATGTTTTTGTCCTGTAGAGTGGCTGGAGAGTTTGAACTGTACACATTTTGATTAGCGTCTGGGTCTCTTAACCACGGTGCCATCAGGGCTCCTTTATTATACATTAAATGCATCTTTTTTTCCCCTCATTTTTTACAGCACCTCTGATCTGCTGTCTTGGCTAATTTCATCTCAATCTGAAATGTGTTATTAAAAATTTCATTTAAAGTCATATAGCTAATGCAAGAATCAACAACATTTTCTCTAAAGAATTATTGTTGTTAAGTGCCATAGAGTCAGCTTTGATTCACAGAGACCCTGTATAGGGTTTCCAAGTAGGAGCTGGTGGGTTTGAACTGCCTACCATGTTGTTCGCAGTCCAGTGCTGATCCTACAAGACCACACCAGCAGTCCTCTAAACATCTTCATCATAAATATTTTTGCTTGTAGTCCGTACAGTCTCTGTCACAACTCTCTAGTTCTGTTACTGTAAAGTTGGGTTATTGGAGGAGGAACAATATGGAAAAGGAAGGTAAGAAGGATTTAATCAATGTCACTGAAGTGTACCAGTAGAAATTGTTGAATTGGTGTATGTTTTGCTTTGTATATTCTCAATTACAACAGCAATAAAAAAATATTAAAAATAAAAAGTTATTAGAAGATTACACCAGCTGCAATGAAAATAGGCATTTATGAGACAACATGCAATAATCCCTGAAGAATATATTTTCAGGAAGCTACTTGCTAATATTCCATTGTATTCCTCCCAATTTCTCAAGTAAATGTTAGGTATCACTTCATTAATTAATCATATTAATTATCTTGGAAAAACAAAAAAAAATATATGAAGTATTATAGGTTTTGTTGTTATATGCTATGTTATGTTATAGGTTATTATGTTAACTTGATACTCATAAATTACCTAAATTGCAGAACCAGAAATATAATTTATGAATATAAATAGACTACTCCCAGACTACTAGTGATAAAAATCTTAAATCCTTCCTCTTCAACCAGTTCATACCCTGAGGATTGTATCTGTGAATGTCATATTTATAATTAATGTCTTTGATAAATGTTTTAGAAAAAAACTCCTAAAACATGAGGTATTACAAAATTTGATAGAACCTTATTATTTCTTATAGCAATTAGAGAAATAATAATATTAGTTTTCTCTAAGTTTTATTTATTGAATTTA